GGGGCACTATGGGAATCATCATGTCTCGCTACACTGTGCGTGCTTTTAGACGACGCGAGTTGCTTGCCGTCTTCTCTGCCTGCTATTCGCTTGCAGTTGGCGCTGGGCCCTCTCGCCGCCGCGTCTGGCCTTGCGTTCGTCGGGAACTTCGCTGGGCCTCGGGGCCCGCTCGGGATCTTGGGCTGCCCGGCCCGAGGGCGCGCGAGGCGTCGACGCGTCGTCCTGGGGCGGGCGTTCTGCACGGCGGCGGTCACCCCAGCCAGAGGTTCAAGACATTTGCCAGTGCAGCGAAGGATGGGTCGTTCTCTCGACAGGGTGAAGAATGGCATCGGCCTCGGGATCATGCTCTGGTCGTGTCTGGTCTAGGCGGTTCCCTTGCCCCTCCTGCACCTCGCGGCCCCGAAGGGGCTTCCCTCGTCGAGGCTTCGAAGCAGCTCGTCCCGGGCGTCGGCTCGAACGTCTGGGGCGGCGGTCGGCCTCGCTAGTCGGCGATGCGGCGTACCCAATCAGATGCCCAGGTGTTCTTGGGAGGCCGCGTCCTCCACACGATCCGCTCCGCGGCCATCCTCGGGAAGCGGGACTTGTACTTGGGTGCGGCGGCCCTCCATCTTGTTTTTGTCGGGGGTCGGTCTCCTTCCAAGCTGATGCGCTTGCGCCGCCAATCTTGGAGCCCAGACTAGCGGCAGGCATGGCAGGCCGATGGAGATGCTGGCTATGGCTGCTGTCGGAGCACGACCCGAGGAAGTTGGGCGGGGGCCTCGGTGCGCCACCCCCCTTTGCGCAAGGCTGGCGAGGAGGCGTCCCGCAGCGGGCCTGGCGCAGCCGCCTCGCCCCCCCCCCCCCTGGCCGACCTGTGGGCAAGCCCCGCGTCCAGGCGGTGTCCCGACCACGAGTCGATCCCCGCCTCAAAGGACCTGTCACCAGCTGATCGTGAGCCTCGCCAATTACCCGCGGTGCGTGAGCGCCTAGCTGAGCTGCCCGACCCCGTGGCCCCTCGACGAGACAGGGCCTGGCTACCTCAGGCTCTACTTGAAGGTCAGGTATCCTCCCTGTGGTTGGGCGAGGCTCGGATGGCGACGCGGACGTCGCAGCTTCTCGGTTCACAGAACGCAGTAATCGCCAAGATCGGAAGGGTTGTCGAGTCGTGGATCACGACAATTTGGAGTTCGCGGGAGGGAGATGCCTACGGCCGCGCCCTCTCGCCAGCCGCGCCGGCGCGCCTCTTCTGCTCGACATGGGCCGCGCCGCGAAAGCCGCCGTCTTCGGCCTGTCCGCGGCCGCTGCGGATCTTGCCGCGCTGGGCCCGCCGCCGCTAGACCGGCTCCGGCGCGCGGCGCCTGGCGCGCGCTGGCCACCCGTGCCCGCCCCGTCGCAAAGGTCAACGGGCGAGGAGGTCGGGCGGGGGGCAGCAGCTTGCGCAGCCACGAGGAGAGCTTGCACCCGGATGCACCGCTCCCTACGGTTTCCGAGGGTGCGCAGCACAGGCACTTCCGCCAGCGCACGACGTCGGCCCCCTTGTTGACGAAGCCGTCTGGCGAGCCGCGGGCTCGGGTCAGCAAATCGCCATCGAGCTCTTCAGCGGCCCCCACATCGCAATAGTCGAGGTCGACGTCGCTACGGCCCAGGATACGATGTTTTGAATGGGGCGCTGGTCCGGAAAGTCCGAGGATTCGTGCAGCAGCTGTGTGGATTGTCCCATCCGCGTTTTTCTCCCCCGCTTCCGTTGTCTCTTCTCTTCCGTCCGCATTCGGTCTTTCTTCTTCGGCTTCCAGAACGTGTCCTCCTCTGTCCAGCGCGCCGTCAATGTAGCTGATCTGGGTTGCTGCAAGGTTGCGCTGTTTTTTGCTGGCCTTGGCAGGAAACTTTCGGCCACATACGTTGCTGAGAATTCTCGCACCTGTGCTCTGAGATGTTCACCTGTTTGCGTGTTTGGCCAGAGCTCCAGGTGTCAAGGAGCGCATCGCCGATTACTGTGCTAGGAAGACCCCGTGGCGAAACCATGTTTTTGGTTGCCCACAGGTGTCGTGGCCGCTCGATTTGCGAGGTGAGAAAGAGTCTGACGGCGAGGATGGGGAGAGGAAGATGTCATGGGAGGTGTTGGTAAGTTTCCCGATGTTTTGGACGTGGATGGTTTAAGACGTTTCCTGTTCCCTCCACTCCGTCAGTCATCCCTTTTCTCTCCCTTGTCCGTCCTCCCTAATCACTTTATTCCCGTCCTATCCCCTCCCCCTATCCTGGCTCCTGCTCCTTCTGCTTCCGTGTTTGCCCCTGTTGCTTCCCATCCTACTCCTCATCCTCCTGCTCCGGCTCCTGTTCCTCATGTTCTGATGTGCCTATGTCGAGTCGCTGCCGCCCCCGCCTGACCCTTGTGGAACCGCAGTGTGCTTCGAACGCAGTTACCGTCCGACTCCAAGGTGAGATGTCGGGTTGGAAAGTTGTCACCAGCACCAGACGTGTTTAGTTTCCATGTACGTATTTGAAAATATGGAATTTGAAATTTGAAGGGGAAGATACATATCGATGGAATATGGTAAAATGCGCGGAATCCGGGAACTGATGTAGATTGGGTTGTGTCATTTTGGTCCCGTGAGTTGATGTCGGGAGGACGGGGGGAGCACAAAAGCAGTGCAAAGGTCTATTTCGGGGCCCTTTACGGTTTGAGGGGTTGTCTCGGGGGCCTTCTGAGGGGCCGCCTGGGTTCTCTTCGACCGTCTGGGAGGTTATTTCTGGGCCACCCCGGCCGTCACGCTTCATTCCCTAAACAGTTTTTCTGCAAGGGTGTTGCATGAGATGTCTGACGCCCTGTAAGGGAGCCCGTGCCCCCCAAATCGGTGACCTAGCCTTCCGCCGCAATGGTGCCATCTGTTTGTATGGCTGGATCCTGGACCCCAGCGGTCGGTGACTGTTCCGCCAGAACTGACACAACGCGCATAAAGCCCACCTCCGCCTCGAAGACGGCCAAGATGACCGTCCTCCATCTTGGCCATCTAGACTTGGACAGAAGCAGGTTTTGTGCGTTTTGTGGTTGTGGTCGTTTCGCATGAGTTATGAGGTACCGGTTGGCAGCCAGCGATGTGACGGCTGGGCTTACCAAAGAGTTTGCGTGACTTTTTGCTGGAGGTCTAAGCCAGTCCGACAAATTCGGCTCGTGTTGGACCCTGGTGACGACAGGGGGCGGCGGATCGACTGGGGCCGTCTTCTGGCTGTCGTGAGTTTTTTTTTCTGGCCTTTTGGACCTTCTTTGGGGCCTCCTGGGGCCTTAGCGGCCCATCTTGGGGTTCTCTAAGGCCATCGTAGCCGCCTTGGGGGCCTATCTGGGCTGTCTTGGGGTGCTTTTCTCTTGGGGTCATCTAAAGGCCATCTCGGGGCCATCGTGGGATCCTCTTGTGGCCCTTTCGGCCGTCTTGGCCCAGTTTTGGGGGCCACTTGGGCGCCTAGGATGCTCTGAAGACCGACAAGGCGATAATCCGAACACTGAAACATGTCAATTGTTGTTTTGGCCTCCCAGGTCCCGGCGTTATTTGGCCGTCTTGGCTGTTCTTGATCCGTCTTTGGGCCAAGTTTGGCCCCCTTGGAAGCACATGTATTTAGCTTCTTACTTCGATGCCAGTTTGGACATATTTGACCGACTTTCCAGGGTTCATGTCGATCCGATCGATCCGATTCGGTATCGATTATTGCCAGCTCGATCCCATTCGACTCTGGTTTTTGACGATCCGATGCGGCTCGCCAGTTGCATGGCGCCGTTATGCATTTTGGCGCAACCGATCCGATTCGATTCCGACTCCGTGCCGATGCGGCCCGATTTGATGCACACTCCGATCCGGTCCGATGTTCAGATGCTCCGATTCGATGTTGATGGGTCCTGAGTTTGTGTCCGCAAAGGCCCTGTTCGGGATCTTCTTAGACCCATATTGAGCAGATCCATCATGGGAGTGTTGTTTTTGATGGCAGGTCGGCTGTACGGACCGACGGCCAGCCAGAGCCTTCTGGGAAGGGGCACATTCTATTTCATAATTCGGCGCGCCAAGCACCCCTCCGGCATACTACGGGCTCTGCGGATCTAGTGTCCAGTGGTGGTAATTTTGGGCTGCGCACCGACAGCACCCAGGTAGTCCCGGCTGGCTTTGACAGGCTCCCCGAGTAGTCCCAGCTAGCCTCAACAGGCCCCCCGAGTAGTAATGGGCGGTCTCAACATCCTGGCGCCGCTTCCGGCGGCGCTTCTGGGGCGCTCCGCTACCCAGGATGGCAGTGTTGAGACCGCCCCAGACTTCTCGGAGGGCTTGTTGAGGCCAGCTGGGACTACTCGGGAGGCCTGCTGCGGCCTTTTGGGGCTGTTGGTTCGCAACCCGAAGTTTTGACATCTAGTGGCCTTCGCTCCATCCCACCCTACCACCGCACCTGTGTTGAAGGAACGAGGCGAAGTGGGAACATGGTCGGGAGCACGGCGGCTTCCTGGGATGCGCAGCTCTCGGGACTTTGAGGAGCATGATTGGGGACTCCTGGGAGACACACGGCAGCCTCTGGGGGCCTTTTGGGCGCCTCCGAGCGGTAATTATGGAGTTCATCGTCGAGCCGAAATTTCCAGAGGTGTGGCGGCGTCGCGCTTTTGAAGTCTGTTTTGGAAGTGTGCTACAGTGGAGTGTTTCAACATTTTGCCAATGCCCCTCCGACGTGCACTGTTTTCTCTCTGTCCATCTCTCTCTCTCTCTATCTCTCTATTGGGGCTGCCCAGGAGGTTCTTGGTTGCCTCGGCATACTTGGGAACTTCGTGGGCCATTTTGGGTTCACCGAAATACGGGGATGAAGATCACGCTGAATCCCTCGGTAGTTGGAAGATGTGATTTTCGGCCGGCCACGAGGGCCTTCGAACCCGCTCGATAGACCCCGCTCCGTAGCCATTTGGGATCATGTGCTTCCAGGCGTCTGGATGGTTCCCGCCCGCGGCGCGGCGACTCTAGGAGCCGAACCGCGCCGCGTTGCACCTTGGGGCCGCACGAATGGCTGGCCGCTTGTCGCGCGTGGCCGCATGGTGCCGCAACGTGGAGAACCAGAAGAACCTCGCAAGGATGGTCGGAGGCGTCAGCTTCTTTTCGCTCGCGCTGCTGTCCCTGAAGCGGGTCTCTCCGGGACACGTGGGCCTGATCGAGGACCTGAACGGCCAGTTGCGTCCGTACATATACGACGACGGCCAGTTGGTCCTTGCGATTCCCATCTGGCAGCGCATCATCAACGTCCGCTTGATTCCCGTCAAGAAGCGCTTCATCAAGGAGTACAAGACCAAGGACGGCAGAGATGTAGAGGTACGGCTATTGTGCCGACTGCAGCCCAAGGTTCATTGGGTCCCAGAGATCTATTACAAGTTTGGGAAGGACTATGGCAGGAGCTTCTTGGAGAAGGAAGCGAGCGTAGACATCGCGGAGGTCGTGAAGCAACATACCTTCGAGGAGCTGGTCCACGGGAGCGAGGACGTTGCGGACGCCATTGCAGAGGCGATCAGCGATCGCCTCTCGGACGCGTGCGCTTTCCACAAGATCAAGATTGCAAGAGAGGAGACGGCGATCGTCTTCCTGGACCCAGAGGCCCCCGAGGAGTAGGAGCGAGCGCGTGGCTGGTGACTTGCTCCGCGTGACGACGCCTAGGACTCAGGCCCATGCGCACCCCGCACGATCGCTGGAGTAGGCGAGTGCAAGAAAGATCGGCCCGAGAGAACAGCAAGGGACCCCCAAGGCAGCTCCGCGACAGACTTTTGGTTTCCGATCCTCGATCCCGAGGCCCCAGGAAGAGTCACGCGGGAGGCCCAGAGCAGTCCCCGTGAATTGGTGATGTCAGCCCGTGAAATGCCATGACAAGCAATGCCCATCATTGACAATGAGATCGGAGGAGAGACGGCACCACCACCAGCGGGGCCACCTCCAGCGAGGGTGTCCACGATGCCTCCCCGAGGTGGGGATCTGGGACGTCTCGAGCAGGAGGATCCTCCCTGGCGCCTCGCGCTGGTGGGTGTAGTGGCGTCGCCCTTCCCTTGCTCCTGTGGAGAAGCCCCCAGCGGTTCGACGACGAGCGACGACGACGCCGCCGCCGACGCCGACGACGACGACGGCGAGCGCCAACGCCGACGACGACGACGAGCGACGAGCGACGACGACTACGACAACGACGACGAGCGACGACGATGATGCCCTCCTATCTAGTTGCTGGCACGGGCCGGACCTCGGGCCCAGGAGCCGCGGCGGCCGGCGGGGCGATGGAGGCGACCAGCAAGCCGGGCGCGCCCTCCGGCGTCCTGCAGGCGGGCAGCGGTGGAAGAAACAGAAATGGCACGAGCATTTGTTTACGGAGCTTCGCATGGAAACCTTCTAAGCAAACATGCACATAAGCATCAATTTAAAGTGAAACACCGCGTAAACATTCGAAGAATAACGCCGTAAATGTGAATATTTAACTGCCCCCCTTCAGCCAGGAAGTCCCAGCGATCGTCAGACGAGGCAAGCCGGAACCGATACCCCTGCCCGCTCGTCACCACGGCTGGATTCCGCTTGAAATGCAAGTCGGAGCGCCCATTGAGGAGGTCCTGTCAGTTGGCGGAGAGCAGCGGATGTCTCCGCCGTGGGACCCGGTAATCTTGCAGTGGGGGGCAGAGCTTCCAGCCCGCATGGACGGGCGTCCTCCACGTGTTTTGCCCGTCGACTCTGTTCGGTTCGATCGATGACTTCGTACCGCGTTGTGTAAGGTGATGTTGCACTCGTTGCCTGGGCTGTCCAGGGAGTGCAGTGCTTGTCTCTCGCTGTTTCCCCCTTTCGCTGGTACTGCAGGCCACAGCTCCGCCTCTGGACTACTCCTTCAAGGAACGGCCCTCACCTGTGCTGGGGCGGGCACAGGGATGGCGGACGATCCGTCAGGGCAGCCTCTGGAGGCAGCGGAGGTAGAGGCGCAGGCAAGGTGATAGTTAGCTCCACGAGTGAGGCGTTGTGCTGATTTCTGGCTTGGCTTTCGGTGGCGAAGTGGTGATGTCTATTCCCTGAGAGCGGCTGAGAAGTTTGGGGGACGCGTCCAGAAGTTGTGAGGCCCCTCGCCCCTCTGCATGGCGCGCTGTTCTCGCCAGGGAGGGGGGCTCAGCGCCGATCCCAGAAACCCGCGCCCAGCTCCGAAAGGCTATGTTTATGTACGTAGTTATATGTTCCTCTGGTACCTAAAAGCCTAATCCGAGATGCCAGTGCGGTAGTCCATGATGGGAAATTTGCTATGTGATGGTGCGATCGGTCGCGCCCGCGAAGCCGCCGACACTCATTGTGTCAAAGCGAAGTCGGGGCGTCATGTGTCGGCCACCGAGTGATGCTTCGGGCAATTCTTGCAGATCGACGTTACCACGATGACGATCGACATGCGCCAAAACTATATACGTCCTGATTGTGTGTTGACGCCCAGGGCCAAAAGACGTGGACATGGCACGTCGTGGGCTCTGAGAGTAGGTGCCGATTTTGCTCAGCATGGGGTTGGGCTGGGTCTGAGCTAGTGGCGAGGGGCCCATGTTGCGAGCCAGGGGTTTCTTCGGTGATACCACTGGGAGCGGAAAGGCTGGATGACCCAGGGTTGAGGAGGAGGCGAGAGTCGGCGAGGTGGGCAGGGAGAAGGGGAGTTGGGTCAACCATGGCGGGCAGGCGGGCACCGCCAGGGTGTCGGGCCAGAGGTGTTGGGAACTCTCAGCGAGGCGAAAAGTTTGCGCGCTGCCTCTGCTGGGAGAGGCATGTTCGCTCCTCGGCTTAGGCAATCCTCCCTGACATTGGAGGCATGCAGCGAGTCATGCGTGATGTGAAATGCAGTGTGTGTGTGTGTATGTGTGTGTGTGTGGAGCGGAGCGTCGAGGAATGCACGCTTGGGTATTCCTCCTTCTCATCTTCACGTGTCCACGCGTTCCTGCATACGTACGCGCATGGCCTCGCCCTCCCTGGGGCTGTTCAGACCAGGCAGGCGGCCGTGTTCCCCTCCTCCCGCGAGGGCACGTCGGGCATTCCAGAGAGCATGCATGCCGTTTGGGTGGCCCCCACCCTGCCTTGTGAACGTGTCTTCCCAGTCCACTTCCCTTCCACTTCATAGGAATGCGAACGGGGAGAAGGGGGAAGAGATCGTCGCAGCCATCAAGTCTCTGCCGCATCTCAGCAGTCATGCTCTGCTGCCCGTTGTCCTAAATGCCGCTGGTGTACACCGAGACGCGATTCCATCCACGACTGCTTTCTCGACGGGCTTGCGACCGTGCATCAAAATTGTTTCGTCTGAGTGGAGGGGTATGGCCTAGGCAGAGCGAAGGAAGGGGAGGAGGAGGAGGAGGAGGAGGAGGAGGACCAGTTTAAACCCAAGAGTCATCAACGATGTTGATATAAGCCCTCCCTCAAAGCTCCCTCTTCATAGGCCCCTATAAAGGTTCATTTCCACTGAGGGAACTGCCGCGTTGGAAGACAAACGTTGGAAGACCCTGGAGCATGCCAAAACATTGTTTCCGGGATTCCAACGCCACGGATCAATTTGATTGTTGCGTCTTCCCCGCCCATCCCCCCGTCCCCCCGTCCCCCCGTCAGACGGATTCCTATTGGAATCCTCCACAACAGGATTCCTATTGACATTCTCCACATGAGTTGAAACCCTCCACTGCAGGATTTCTGTTGAAATCCTCGACAGAAGGGTTCCTATTGAAATCCTCCACGCCAGGGTTCCGACTGAAACCCTCCACAGCAGGATTCTTAACTATTGATAGCCTCGACAGAAGGATTCATATTGAAATCCTCTACAGAAGGAGTCCGACCGAAACCCTCCAGAGCAGGATTCCGATTGAAATCCGCTACACCAGGATTCCGATTGAAATTCTTGACAGGAGGATTAATATTGAACTCCTCAGAGGAGCAGTGGCGTTTTAGTTTCAGTATTTCGAGTGCTTCCCGGCCAAGATTATTGACCGCAGTTGGGAGCCGTTGGCACCCTCTGGAAACCCTATTGGAGCCATCCTGGAGTCCATCGATCAAACAGGGGTGCGCGACGTCAATTGCGCCCGCCCCTTCTGAGGCCCTACGAGTTGCCTGCTGGGGCCATATTGGGCCGCTCTTGGGAGCCTTCGGGGCCGTCTTCGACCCACTCTGAATCCCTCGCATGTTGGAGGCCATCTTGGACGATACCCGGAATCGGGGATCGCGCCAGAACGCCATTCTTGGGACTTAAACACAGCGAATCAACGTAACTGCTGCGCCCGCGAAATCCTGAATCCTTTCCAGCAAAAATATCCTGGTACGCTGATAATGGAAATCAGTGAAACTCCTGAAGACTGGTAAAAAGAATGTGCGCCGCGCTAAGTCGAGAGCCACCTTTCGAGAAGGAACCGCCCTCGATCCGTTAATGTTTTGTTGTGCAAACATCTCAAACGAATGTGCGTGGCGCTGGGGCGAGAGCCACATTTGGAACCCCCCCCGCCCTCAATCCTTGAAGCTCTTTGCAGTTGTTTGTTTAATCATTGTGCGTGGCGCTAAGGCGAGAAACAATTGAAAACCAGCCGCCCACACTCCGTGAAACCCTCGCGAACATGTTCAAAACGAATGTGCGCGGCGCGAAGGCGAGAGCCACATCTTGAAATCCACCCGCCCTCAATAAGTGAAATTCTTCAAGTTGTTTTAAACGAATGTGCGCCGCGCTAACGCGAGAACAACATGTTGAATACCACCCGCCGTCGACCCGTGAAACTCTTGCAAATATCTAAAACGAATGTGCCCTGCGCTAAGGCAAAAGCCACATTAAAGCCATTCGCCGTCAATCAGAGAAATCCTTACAACTATTTGAAACACATGTGTACGGGTCGAAGGCGAGAGCCACACTTTGAGAACGACCCGCCGTCCATGTGTGAAACTGTCGCCAATTTTGTAAGCTTCGGAGTCATAAATGATGAGGAAGTCTTAGGCGAAATGCCCGGCCCGCATGAAGAAAAAGGTTTCGGGTACGACAGGGAGGAGTTATTTAATCGCTTCGCTCATTCCGCTGGCCCTGGAGCGCTATTTGGGGCCTCTTGGGGCCGTCTTGGGGGCTTCTTGGGAGCGTCTTGGGGCTCCCTGGCGGCGCATTGGGCTCCCCTTGGGCCTCTTGGGGGGCTCTTGGGGGCCCCTTGGGGCGGGGGGGGGGGTAGTCGATAGCAGCCCCCCCTCGGAGGCCACGATCCTCGTGAGGGGTGGCGAAAAATAGTCTCGCCCCTGGGGATCGCCCGGGACCCAGCCGGGGATCGGCCGGGGTACTTTTCGCCCGGGGCCCCCCAGGGGCCGCCCCGCGCGCGCGAACTCGAAATATTGTTGAGTAGTTACCGGAGATCTTAGCACGCCTCTGGCCCGTTGGGCCAGCGAATTCACAAGGAAAAGGAATTGAGGAGGTTGGGCCGTGGAGCCTTTGCAGTGCATGGAGTCTTCCGAGTGGGGAAAGTCGAGCAGTCACAGCTGTGTGACTGTGCGTCGCACAACGAGGTCTCGGGAGGCCCAGGCCCATGAGACCTGCGATCGCCCGCGAAGGCGTCCGGGCGCGGCCATCAGAGGCTTGTTTCTTATCGGTCTGGGTCAGGGTCGGCGGCTCGCAGACAAGAGGGTCAGACAAGAGGGTGTGTTTCAGCTACATGAGCGTTTCGAGCGTTTCGAGCTTCGATTCAGCAGGGTGAGTCTCACGCCCGTTCATTCAACAAAAACAAACGTACAGAGTCCACCGAGGGGGCGCAGCGGACCTCTGTGGCTTCCCCCGCGAGACGCCCTCCCGCGACGGCCCAGACCTGCTTCATGCCATCCCATCCCCCTTTCCCAGCGGCCAGGAGGGGGCATCTTGTTGGTCATCGTCATCATCATCATCGTCATCATCATCGACATTATCGTCATCATCATCGCCACCATCATCATCTTCACCTTCATCGCAATCATAGCATCACCACCAGTACCACCATTATTAGCATCACCATCATCATCAACATCATCATTCGAAACATCACCATCATCATTACCATGTTCTTCGTCATCATCATCATCGTCGCCGTCATCTCGTCATCATCATCATCATCATCATCATCATCATCATCATCATCATCATCATCATCATCATCACCACCAATATCATCATCGTCGTCGTCGTCGCTCTCGTCATCATCATCCCCGCCCCACGCAGATTCCACCGCCCGGGGCCCCGTCGAGTATGCCAGACCCACGCCTCTGGAAGGGGATGTTGTAGAGCCTCGCCCCCCCTGGGCTATTGGTTATGGTGTACTGCTTGTTTGGGCGGACCACGCGTGCCTCTCGAGTTCGGTCTTTACGCCTCCTGGTCATCGGGCCGAAGCAGTTTCAACGAGGAACGGAGTCGCCTGTCTGGCGACCGCTGGCAACGCCACCATTCGTCGCCCCGCGGAGGTGGGGGAGTGCGAGGGGGCATGCCTTCTCAGAAGGCGGCGGGGCCACTCAGAAGCCCTCCGGCCTGCTGAGAAGCCCTATGTGGCCTCGGAGAAGGCGCAGAATTCTTCGCAGGAGGCCTGAGGCATCGTGAGCCTTCCGAGAAGGAGAGTGCCCGCCCTCTCTGCCTTCACCCGCGGGCGCGCCGCCGAATAATCGTCGCCCCCAGCCGGCCCGCTTCCCCGTTGCCGTCGTCCTCTACTTCCATTGCCACAACCGTGGCCGTGGTGGACGACTAAAGCAGTGGTAAAAACGTCCTGACTTACCAACTGGTCCACCAGATCATAATCTAAGAGCCCTTTTTTGTGGTCTGCGCGAAGCCAGTCTTCGTTTTCAGGAGCGAAAGGTACATGAATCCACGTTGGTTTCGCAAGTGCGCATTGCGCGAATGTTTGTATCACGAGGCTGGCCTCGCAGACTGGGGGGGCCGTATTCATGTACGTGATTGGGATCGTACGTTTTTGTTGTAGTTTCCTCATTGTTTTAAACACGCTTTTTTACATTCTAAGAGCGTTCGTTCTCCTGTCGCAGCGGTCGGCCCCTGCTCCAACGGCAGCGCCGCCGCCGTACACAGCATCGGCGTGCGCAGGAGCTCCGCAGCTGCTCGGAGATGGAGACGGAGGAGCCCAGGGGCGGTGGCGTGCGCAGGCCGCCGCCCGCCCATGTGGATCGCCGCCAGTCTCTGCTGCAATCTACGGCGCAGGAGGAGGAGGAGGAGGAGGAGGAGGAGGAGGAGGAGGAGGAGGGGGACGAGGTTTTTTTGGCCGCACGCCCCCTCTAAACTACAAGTCGTCACCTGCAAGCCTGTATTTCCAACGGCCATGAGGGCAGCTCACAGAGCCAGCTTATACTTAATTTTTCTTTGCATGACAGACACGCACAGCCAGCTTCACTCTGCTCTTTTTGGATGAGGTGTGTGGGCGGGAGCTGGGTACTTGGGTGGCCGTGGTGGTTGGGAAGACGTACTTGCTGGTTTGGGGTTAACCGGAGACCGTGGGCAGCAACCCAAGAACTGCTACAATGCACGGCCACAGGTGCAGCTCTAGCGACACTTCTTTGCAGCGCCGCCAGCCTCACTCGGATCCTGGCACCTTTTCGCAGGCATCTCCTACACTACAAGCGGTACCACCTTGAATCCTATATCTCATCGGCGATGATAGGCCAGCCCAAAGGGCCAGCCTGTACCTCACATTTGTCCTTACCATAACCAACACAGTCTGCTTCACTCTGCTGTTTTGGATGGGATTTGTGGGGGCGGATATCTAGAGGGCAGGTGGTTTGGGGGAAGCACTTGCTGGGCTTGGGGTTGACCAAGCATCTTGGGCAGCAGCCCAAGAACTGCTACACTGCACGGCCACCTGTACATGTCTTGACGCAGGCCTCTTCATCATTACAAGCTGTGCAGTACGCAAGCCTGTATCCCACCAGGCTAGGACAGGCCAGCCAACTGGGCCAGCCTGCACCTCATTGTATTGGTTTGCTTGCCAATTCACAACGCAGGCAGCCTTACTCTGATCTTGCGGATTGGGGATGTGTACAGGATTGTTTAGGTTTATTGGCGGTGTCTGGACATGCGGCACAAACCACCTCATCACACTTCAAAGGTGCTTGTCGTGCGACATGCTTTGTCAATTCTAGCGACACCTCTTACGCAGCACAGCCAAACCCACTCATATCCTGGCACTTACGCCGGCCTCTCCTACACTACAAGCGGCGTCACCTTGAAAGCTTGTATCTCGCAGGCTATGACAGGCCAGCACGCGGGGCCTGCCTATAGCTGACATTCTGTTGCCTGCCCCAAAAACACATCCAGCCTCACTGTGATCTTTTGGATGGGGAACGTGGGCTGGATAGACTGGTGTTGGGGACTTGTGCTAGGGATGGCGTACCTGCGGTTTGGGGTTATCCTAAAATCCGGGCCAGCAACCTTAGAACTGTTTCTCGCTTCATCTGCTTAACCTTTTCTCTGTTCACCTTACCGAGGCGGCACTTACCACTGATGTTGTGGCGGGGGGCGAGCGAGGGGGGCGAAGGCCGTGGCGGCCAGAGAGGAGGCCGACGGCCGCGTTGAAGAGGCAGCGGATAGAGAGGGATTGCAGGGCCCTGCGTTGAGGGGGGCGGGAGGCCGAGGCCGAGGCGCGGAAGGCGCGCCAGGCGCAAGGCGGCCACGCGCGGCAGGGCACCCAGAGGAGGTCGAATGCGGGCTTGCCTCGCGAGCGTCGCCCGTCCCCGTCGAGATTGCGCAGCCTCCACCTGCGTTGGGGTGGTCTCCCAGACGGTCGGGTGCGGTGAATGTGGGTTATCCCGGCTCTTCCGCTCAGCAGACGGCTGAGCGCGGACAACCCTTGAGTACGAAGCCAGTGGAGGCGGGGTGTAGGGTTTAGGGTTTAGGGCCTGCCTTGGCGCGAGCGCGCGATGGCTGCGATCCCCCCCACATCAAGGTTGTTGGGGGGGATCGCTGCCCAAGCCGCGCGCGCCACGGTTAGCCGCACTCCCGCCCCAGACCACCCAGGGTTTCTCCCCCAAACCCCCTGTCACGGGGGGCTGTCGAAGTGGCCCGCGCAGGCGATCGCCGACGCGGCCGTGGCATTGCGCATCCACGTGGGCATGCGCGCAGGGCGCGTGGCGTAGGCGCGTCGGCTCGTTGCCCCGTCGAAGAGGTGGCCGTTGGCGATTTCGGCGTTGGGCTTCGCCGTGGGGCTGCCGCTGGCGCAGCATGTTCATGTGTTGGGACTCAGGGCTGCGACTGCTGGGAAGCGCGCGCGGCGCGGCCGTGGCAATGCGCGCCCGTGCGAGCACGCGCGCAGGGTGCATGGCGCTGGCGCAGCTCGCCCCGTCGATGGGGCAGCCTTTTTCGCCTTCGGCGTGGAGCTTCGCCGTTGGGTTGCCGCTGGCGCGGCAGTTTCACAGGGGTCCGACATTTGCTTTCGGCATTCGAAAGCAGCATTGCGAGGGCGCTGGCGCGGCAATCCCATGGGTTTCCGTGGGCCTCGAGCGAGTGGCTGCGCCGTCGAGCTCTTCGCTGACGGCGACGCGCACGGCAGTTCCATTCGCCCGCGGCTTTGAGTTTCGCCTTCGGGGTCGTCCCCGCCGAAGCGATTGCAATCATCGGCGGAGCCGCCTTCGGCGCGAGCCTCGGAGGGCTGGAGGGGGGGCGCGATGGGGGCGGGTCCGGCACCCCCTCGCTACGATGCGCGGGCATGGCTGCGGCAGCACCTCCATGGCAGCCCCTTTGGGGGAGCCCTCGGGGAGCGCTGGCGGAGCGCTTGGACCTTTCCCCAGGAATGCGTGGAGGGCGCTCTGAGCGCCTTGGGAGCGCGCTCCAGCGCATGGGGGCCCCTGGGGGCGCCTGGAAGCACGTGGGGGCGTCTGGGAGCGTGGCAGGATACACAGCGTGCGCCGCGAATGCGAGCCGTGGGTTGGCCGTTGGGCTTGGCCGTTGGCGTCGCCCCCGCTGATGCGATTGCATTGTCGACGCAGCCGCCTTCGGCGCGAATTTCGCGTGGCTGGAGGGGGGGCGCGAGGGGGTGGGTCTGGCACCCCCTCGCTACGATGCGCGCTTGGGAGCGCCTGGGAGCGCGCCGCGAGCGCTTGGGAGCGCTTGGGAGCTCCTGGGAACGCTTGGGAGCGCATGGGCGCGCTGGGGACACCGAGACAGCTGGCGAGAAGGCCCCGGGGCGCCGCATGCTGCATTTTCATATGGATGGCAACGCCATGGATGCCAGAACAGGCGCCGCAGGCTGTATTTTCATATGGTTTGCGGCCCCACGGACGGCCGAAAGGGCGCCGCGTGTTGTATCTTCATAGGTTTGGAGTTTGAGGTTGAGGGCTCTTTACATTAAGCGATCAAGCGGCGGCCGCATACGCGCGGCGGACGAATGCCTCCTCAGCGCTGCGCGCTTCGTCGGTGCCACGTACGTGGAATGGGCAGGCTCGCTTAGCGCTCGGCCAAACGCCACGGGCTACGGACGTTGCACAGCCCGCGGCTTGCAGTTTAGGGTTTAGGGTTTAGGGTTTGGGGCCAGGCCCAGAGAAGGCAATTGGGGCGACGGGCGGCGCCCCCTCGGCGCGGAGCCCCGTGTAATGCGCGGCTGGCGGCACCATGCGGGGCCGCAGGCGAATGCCAGCCATGCGCGCGTGCGTCTACAGGCCCTGGACTTTAAGGGTAGCTCTTTGGGAGATGTTACAGTATCGGGAGCATAGCTCGCGCGCCGCTGCCTTGGGCTCAAGGCACGCGCGCCCTATTTGCCCGGACACTGCTTGTGTTCGCTATGTGCTGGAAAGATCATTACATCGATCTTATCCTATCTTACCCATCCACCCCTCATACTGTACCCTCACAGCAGAGCGATGGATGCAATTTGCCAGGCTATATGCCCTATTTGAGTTACCAGGCTCACTTTCGACTTGGTAGCGGAGCTGGCCGCACTCTCGTGTGGTCAGCTCTTGCTCTTCTTAGCCTCACATTCTTCGGCGCGATCTTCGTGACCACCTACTACCCTGCGCCACCACTCCCAGTACATTTACGAGGATCTATTCAAGAGCAAGAAGCGACACGAGAGGTACGACGTCTAGACGACCAGATTGGTACCATATACGCTTCATCATTGCGTTACTATCAACCGCTCGGCAACGAGCCAATAACGCAATACCTGAAGCAAGGGCGGGGAAACCCGCCAGACAGAGCGCCTCGAAGACTCGACAAGGCGCTACCCCAGCGCGACACCGCTCATCATAACCGTCCTTCGTTACACATTCTCGGGCTAATCGTTTTCGCTATCGTACCGCCTGACATTATAAACTATGGTGCTGACATTGATGGGGTCCACACAGACCCAGTAACTTACATCATGTTCCTCCTCAGCATGAAGTTCGAACGCCTGGAAGATGAGCGACAGCTCACTTCCGGCACACAACTCATCGACTTCCATGTGCCTCACGGGGAACGAATCGATGTCACTCTTACCCGATTCGAAATGGCCCGACTTGAGGCACAGTCGGTGGGATTCGACCTTCCTAACTTCCAACTGCTAACCACTATCCTATTCCGCGCCTTAGGCGTCGGCAACCAGAAAGCCATGCAACTCTTACAGCCACTCAACCACCAAATGCCTCGAACACAACAACAATATGATGAGCTGCTGGAAAGGATGCGTTCGGTAGGCCACCTATCCGAACGATCTCCTGGCAACATAGGATCCGTGTTTGGAAGAGGAAGAGGATCTGGGAGTGGAAATTTCTACACTACCTTGACTACTGAAGCCCAGCCTGGAAACGGGCCCTCAAACATATGGGCCGATGACCCAGGAGAATCCATTGCTTCATTAGCAGGGGATCGATCACAACCAAGCTGGGCAACCAGCCCTCCTTCTAGAGAACCGCAACCCCACCGCTCGTTATGGGGGGAATCAAATCCCCTAACCGACGGTGTATCCACTTATTTAGGAGACGAAGATTTCGACTCCGGCACCGATACAGACACTATATCATCAGATGGTGTTGAAGCTCTAGATTGGTCAGATATCATGAATATGGATAACGACAATCAGCGTGCTGAGCACTTATTCTGGCTGTTACAACAGGCTAAGCGAAGGTGGAGGAGGTTCACACGAAAACCAGTGCGTCGTGTTAGAAGGAGGATACGCAGA